GAGAGAGAGAGAGAGAGAGAGAGAGAGAGAGAGAGAGAGAGAGAGAGAGAGAACGAGAACGAACCAGCGGAGCCTGGGGGTGTAGGGCACAGCGCCTATACGGAGATATTCAGTTCCACCGCGCGCAGATGCGCCCAGTAAGGGGACTCAGTTCTTTTTGTATTTTTATTTTTTTTCTTATTTTTCAATTTTGATTTCTTCTACCCCCCTTCATTTCCCAACGGGTTTTTAAGTAGAGGGCAGCTCAGATCAACTCCGTTTACCCAGGTGCAACACAAGCGTGACACCCCGCTTACAGCACATTGCAAATGAGCCCCCCACCTTTACGCTAGATTACAAATCGCCCATGTGCCCGAGTGCTAAATACACTAAGTCAGGCAGGCGTGTGCAAGGGCCTGGTTCCCTGCGTGTACGCGGCATCAGTTGGGTGACAGCAAGTCACTTCTGGTCCGAGTTTCCTAAAAGGTCTGCCTATTCTGAGGCAGGGCCACTGCTCAGGAGAAGTGGGGGGTCACGCGAGGGCCAGGGACAACGACTCGGCAACGGGATTATCAGGGACGTGCGTGTATGCGTGCCCGGCGGAAACACGTGTGTCATGGTAGACCTCGGGTCCGACGACCCTGACTCCCCCACGGACACATTGAAGCCGAGTCGTCGAAGAAGCCGGCGACTTCCGGAATCCGCTGTGAATCAGGGGCACAGTTCAGGGAGCCCGCGCTCCGAGCGGGTCTTCAGTGAGGCCTTCTCAGACTATTGGGGATCGGGGGATTGGGAGTATATAGTGCAGAGTCAAACATCCCAGCCGCCCCCACCACCCACCACACCGACCCGCCCTTGGTGCCCCAGCCAATCCTCAATCCTGTAGGCACAAGCCCCACCTTCCTGAGAAGCTGCACTCTTGCAAGGCAGAGCCACGCCCATATAGACAATTGCTAAGGGTCCGCCCTGCCCTGCAAGCCCCGCCCCGTGTAGGTTTTCCAAAGCACCAAGCCCTGCCCTTGGGGACATGCCCCTCCCACGCGTAGCCTCTCCTCCCTCCCTCTGGCACCACCCAGGCAGAAGTCCCGCCTTGTACCTGGAGTAAGGGGGTGGTGGGGCGTCATGCACCCCAGAGGCTGCTAAAGCCTGCTCATAGGTGGGAAGGCCTGGGGGCAAGGGCGGAGACAGAGGCGTCGGAGGACTCAAGGGGATGATGAGCCCGGTCCTGGGGACAGAAAAAGTGTGGTTAATACAAAACCTACGTTGTAGTTGGAGACGAGGGGGTCAGCGATTAAAGACACTTGCTCCACACAACACAGAAACTTTTAGTCCCAAAATTTCCCAAATCCAGTCTTTGAGGCAAGGTCGCCCAGGCTGGCTTCAAAACTTCCAGCAATCCTTCTGCCCAATCTCCCAAGCATTGGGATTTGACGTGTGAACTGCCATGCCCAGCTTCCAAACCCAGTCTTTACATTGTATTTTGACATTTAAATTGCAGTTATGTATTCTGTGTGTGTGCACATATCCCCACACACCAATGATAATCAGAGGACAGCACAGGGGAGTGTGTCTCCTTTCGCTGTGTGGGTCCCTATGTGGTTGGCATCTTTGGGAGAAAACTCCTTTACCCACTAAGCCATCTTGATGGACCTTCCCCTACCCAGGACCCAGGGCACCCTATGTCCTGTCCCTTCATGGGTGGCCTTTACAAAGGCATTCCACCAACTGATCTATACCCTCACCTCTCTTTCTACATTTTATTTTGAGAAGGCTTCTGCCTAAGTTACCCAGGCTAGCCTTGAATTCACATTATAGTGAAGAGGTCTTGAACATTTTAGATCCTCCTGCCTCTGCCACTCAGCTGCTGGGAGCACCATGATTTCCAGCTACAACTATGAGACACCTTCTGAGATTCTGCTCGTCTGAAATACACAGACTACTCCCAACTCACACAAACACTTGTTGTGACTTGTACTCATGGGACAGATCATGCCACAGACAGCTGTGGACCACAGCCTACACAGCCCCATCAGTTGCTTTTTCGTTTGTGTTTTTCAAAACAGGATTTCTCTGTGTAGCCCTGGCTGTCCTGGAACTCACTCTGTAGACCAGGCTGGCCTCGAACTCAAATATCCACCTGCCTCTGCCTCCCAGGTGCTGGGATTAAAAGCGTGTGCCACCACGCCTGCTTGCCAGTTGCAGTTTTATCCACAGTAATGACTTCACTGAAACCTGGCACTCAAATGACTGACAGGTAGGTATCAACTGCAAAAAGAACCACTGCATGGTGACTAGACCAACAGGAATGGCAGCCTTACTCTCCACAGGCTATAGTTCCAGACTCTTCATTGCTGGTCTCCTGCCCCAAACGTTAGCCCTTCTCCTCAGATCAAGCTGTCTCCCCCCTCCCCACTTTTCTCCCCCTCCTCTCCTGTATCCTCCTCCTCCTGGAAGACCCCTTACTCTTGCAGACAGGACTCCTGGACTCTGAGGCGGCGGCGGCGATACTGCAGATACCAAAAGGCTCCCAAGCCAGCCAACACAATGAGCAGGGTCCCAGAGGTCAGTCCCACTGCCAGGCCTGCAACATCCACCCGTCCACGCCCTGTGGGTAGAGGGTACCACTGATTCAGTACTGCCACCTCCTCCAACACTTCAGTCCCTGTCCCTAAGGGACTGTGTACTTGTGGGGAAAGTAGGTACATATGTGTGGAGATGTCCACAGAGCTCATAGGAAGACACTGGGTCCTCCGATCTGCTAGAATTACCACCTGTTGTGAGCAGCACCCAACTAGGGTCCTGGGAACCAAGCTCCAGTATTCTGCAAAAGCAGGAAGCACTCTTAAGTGCTGTGCCATCTCTCTAGCCCTTACTGCTTTTCTAAAAAAAAAAAAGAAAAGAAAAGAAAAAAAAAGGTACCTGTGTGTATGTGTAGTGACCACAGTTCAACCTTAAATGTGTTCCCCCAGAGACACATTTTTTGGTTAATTTTTTTTGTGGGGAGAGGGTTCGAGACAGGGTTTCTCTGTGTAGCCTTGGCTGTCCTGAAACTCACTCTGTAGACCAGGCTGGCCTCGAACTCAGAAATCCGCCTGCCTCTGCCTCCCAAGTGCTGGGATTAAAGGCGTGTGCCACCACTGCCCGACTGTTAATTTTTTATTTAATTGTATGTTCACATCCGTGTTTATCTATGTGGGGCACCTGGTTACCACATGTACGTAGAGGACAGGGGACAACTTCCAGAACTCAGTTCTCTCCTACCACGTGGTGTCATATCCTCAGGCGTCCCCCTGCTGAGCCATCTCCCTGGCCTGCCTCCTTAGACCTGGGCTCACTGATTTAGGAAGGCTGGTTAGCCAGTGAGCCCCATGGTACCTCCCTTCCATCCCTCCTCTCAAACAGTGGGACTCCAAAGATGCTCTAGGATGCCCAGCTTTTTCCTGTAGATTCTGGAGATCAAACTCAGGTCCTCAGGTTACATGGCGAGCACTTTACCAACTGAGACATCGCTCTAACTCTCGGTTTTGTTTTATTGAAACAGGGAGTCTCAAGCTGACCTCAGACTTGACATGTTGCAGAGGCTGGCCTTGAACTCAACAGTATTTCTGCCTCAGCTTCTGGAATAGCTGGGATTGCAAGGCCAAGGCCAGTGCCATTAGATCTGGCTACCTGCCATCCCCACCCCCATACCCCTTTTTAGCTTGTAGTGAGAAGGCAGTTCTTCCAAAATCTGGCAGATTTCAGGTGATCCAAGAAGCCACTAGGTCTTGCTAAGATTGTTGAAAAGGAGCTATCTCCCATAGCAACCAGTTTCACTGTGAGGACTATAGTACAGACCTAGGGCCTGTTGCTAAGGTGCATCCACCCCTAGCAACCAAGCTGTGAGGGGGTGGGGCAGCTGATGCCCAGAGGGGGGTCCTCCAGCTGGGCAGGAGGCCCTAGTCCTCCAGCTAGGTATGGTTGCTAGGGAAAAGGCCTCCTTAGCAACCAGGCTGGCTGTGGCTGGCATGGAGCTGTGGGGGAGGGGAAGGCAGCCAGGTAGTGTTTCTGGCTTCCTCTGTCTGGCCTGGCCAAGGCCCTGTTGCTAAGGAGCAGCCCCCCTTAGCAACAAAGCTCAAGCCAAGATGAGGGCTTTAGAATTCAGAGGAGGGGCTAGGGTGGGCAAACTGGACAGGTGAGAATGGCCAGGCTTCCTGCCTTAGCTCTGTTGCTAGGTAACAGCCCCACTAGCAACCAAGATGCTTGTAAGGGGCTGGGGCTCTGAACTCTATAAAGAAGGGCCCCAGGTGAGTTTGTCCCTCTGATGGGCCCCATGACAATAACTCTTTCTACCATTTGCTCACCCATATGTCCCCCTCCTGGGGACTTGGGGTCCTCCTATGACTGGGAACACAGTGTGCTGGGTTTCTCAGACAAGGGGCATAGTGAAAACATAGGAGACACCTTGTCAGTCATCTCTGAACAGCATGCGATGGGAGAGTGGTCCTGAGTGTGTGGAGGGGGCTCCAGGCTGCTTCCCCAACACAGAGCCAGAGAGCTGAGCGTCACTCACCTCCCTTGCCATTGTACGTATAGCTTTCCCAGAAGCGCTCCTAGGATGGGGAGAGATAGCAACTAAATATGGAAACTCATTCTCCTATCACCCACCAGTCCACCCTGATCCGAGACCCAAGGGAGTGAGGAGGAAACCGAAGGCTAGAGGCCTGTGATCCTTAACACCTAGAGAAGGCAGACAGGCCCTCACCGTCAGTGTGTTGTCCTCAAAGTACTCCCGGGCCTCTTCCCAGGAGCACCTCTCCTCCAGACACTCCCGTTCCAGGTTCCCAGGGGTCAGCAACTCCAGGTCCCAGTGGTTAGCACGAGGAAAACGCCTGCGGCCAACTAAGAACCTCTGGGCCTCTGGGGGATCCAGGAAGATGTCAAGAACTAAGGACACCAGAGTCAAAAGCAGAGTCCTTAGGATTGAGGACAAAGAAGACAAAGAACTGTGGGGTTATAGGGGTATGGGGCAGTCTTGGAAAATCCTGAGCAAGATGGGCCAGGGTTTGTACCGTTGGGTAAGAAGACTGGAGTCTGGAACTCTATTTCTGAAGCCGGGGTTGGCCTTGTGGATCTGAGGGAAGAAGCTGGGGTATGGACCCTAGGATCTGAGGGAAAAGGGTCAGGTTCAGGAAGCCAGGAAGTATTCTGGCTAGGGGAAGGCAAAAGTTAAACCTCTGCAAGGCTCTTCCACAGACACACTCACCTTGGTTTTGCTCTCTATGAGGTAAGGTGTCCAGGCAGGTGGCCAATCCCATATAGACTAAGAGCAGGGAAGGATGGCTCCTCATATTGTGTGGACTCCAAGATGACAAATGCCTCAGCAGAGTTATGAGGCCAGGACTCCCTGCCCGGACTCTGCAGTCATGAATGAAGATAAAACTAAGTACTCAATTTGTATCCTATGTCAGACACCTTGAGTCTTTATCAACTCATCTTAATTTTCAAACTAATCCTATTACCCCTGCCATTTTATAGGTGAGGAAAGTGTCACCAGGTGGTAAATTACTTGCCTATTATACGAGGTATTTGAGTGTCAGAGGAGGACTTTGAAGGTGACAGTGCTCTACCAGTGATGAGCACACAGTTGCTGAGGCTGTCTTTTTCTATACTTAGCACCTATTGCAAATCTGACAACACATAGTAGGCTCATCATCAGTCCTGGCCCCTCCCAGACCAGCAGATTACATTCCAGGTCAACCTCCCTCTGCTCGTTGCCTCATCAAGCCACAGAGATCAAAGACTACACGACAGACCAGGTCCTATATTTCTAGGTCTTGAAGGCTTGAGGGGGCAGAGCCCTTGGGATCCACAGCCTGGAGCTTGGGTCCCAAGTTTCTAGATCCCAATAACATGGGGAGTAAGGACACCAGATCCCCTGCCCGCAAGTTTCTCTGGGAGCATTCATTCACTTACTTGCCCAGGGCTGGGAGCCCTGCCTCTCTTCTTTAATCAAGACCCTCTGGGACAGCAATAGCCAGCTGTGCAAAGAGGTAGGGGAGAGGGGAGGGGAGAGGAAGGAGGGGTGCTCCACCTCAGTTACTAGGCCCAATCCGGCTACTGGAAAGGGGCGGGGCTACTGATTACCTGCTTTGGGAGGGACTCAGGTAAAGGACAAACTACTTAAAGGGACCATGGGATCAAGGTCTTCGGTGCCACCGCCCCACACAGAAGAAGCAAAGCTTTCCTACACTATGGAGGGATCTAGGGGGCTTTATTAGCGTCTCCGATTACCTCCTTTTCCGCCCCTTGTCTCTCTACAGACAACTTGCTTGGCAGAGCCAGGTAAATAAATCTTAGGTCTCAAGAGATCTACAAACTGGTGGGAACGGAATTCTTTGGTTCCTAGAATAACTGGGCGGTACCACAATAAATCTGTTTCCTGAGGGTAACTGGAACAGTTTAGCCTTGTAATCTTTGATTATTGCTTTTTCCATAGTAGGGGAAAGAGTTCTCACTTAATCGTCTCTTAAGATTCAACGGGAAAAAATAAGTATATATTTGGGGAACTGGATATCAGACTCTCCAGGTGACGATGTTAGTCCCTAAACTCAAACTTGAAGAGACTCAAAGCAACTGCCCCGCTCTGGGGAATGCCTAGTACAGGCTAAAGTGTCTCCGATAGTCAAGCAACTTTCGCTCACACCGGAACCTTCGAGTGGTCACTCACGTTTCCGGGGGGATGGAAGAGAAGAAGAAAGCACTTACCAAGCCAGGAGAAGCGCCTCCGCAACTAGGGGCAGAGTTATTTCCGGTTTCCTACTGTCGGGCGGAAGTGGGAGGAGTGGAGTGGAGTTAAAAAACAGTACTCTTTTCCGGTTCGGGACACAGTTGAAGCAACGACAAGTCGGATAGCCATTCCTGAGGTAAGCTGCAGGCGGTGAGGGGTCGCGTTGCTAAGTTCCCTTCTTGTGTGAGATATTTCGAGTTCTGAGGGATGTAGGATAAGGTTTTTCACTCCGAATCCCTGTCAATCATTAACAGAGCGCTCTTGAACGCCTAGGTTGCAAGAGGAACTACATTTCCCAGGATGCCCTGTACTTTGATTCCCTCATCCTGGCTGGTTATAGAAAATGTGGTTCCGCAGTAGAGGAATGATCCCGCCCAGTGCAGGGAGGAACTTGAGACTCCCTGGGTTAGTGACAGTTGAGGTCGGATTCCTTAATTTGTTTCAGTTTTCTAGTGAGGAGGGTAATGAGCAGTAGTGATTTGGACCCTTGAAGACTCCTTTTTTTTTTTTTTTTTTTGGTTTTTCGAGACAGGGTTTCTCTGTGTAGCACTGGTTGTCCTGGAACTCACTCTGTAGACCAGGCTGGCCTCGAACTCAGAAATCCGCCTGCCTCTGCCTCCCGAGTGCTGGGATTAAAGGCGTGCGCCACCACCGCCCGGCTCCTTGAAGACTCCTTAATGCAAGTAAATTATTTTATTTTACTTGAGACTGAATCTCATTAGCCCTTGCTGGTCTAGAACTCGCTGTGTAGTTAGCCTCAAACTCAGTGATCCGCCAGTCTCTGCCGCCCAAGCGTTGAGATTAAAAGTGTGCACCGAAGCCGGGCGGTGGTGGCGCACGCCTTTAATCCCAGCACTCGGGAGGCAGAGGCAGGCAGATCTCTAGTTGGAAACCAGCCTGGTCTACAGAGTGAGTTCCAGGACAGCCAGGGCTACACAGAGAAACCCTGTCTCGAAAAACAAAACAAACAAACAAACGGTGTACACGGAGCCACATACACAAACTCACACGTTGTTCGTTTTGGGTTTTTTCGTTATTGTTGTTTTGTTTTGTTTTTGAGATGGGCAGCTTGGTACTGAAATTAAAGGCATACAGTCACCACTCCTGCCTCAAGTTCTTATTTCCAATGATGTTTATTGGGATATAATTTCACATAATATATACTTTACCCACTTAAAACACACAATTGAGCCGTTTGTAGCATGCTCACAGAATTGTACTGACATCACCACTGACAATTTTGGAGCTTGTTCTCTGGGTGTGGTACCACAGTCCCAGGGAAGCAAACACTTTCTTCTGGCCTCTAAGAGTACCAGGCAGAGTACACTGCTACAGAAGTCTAATTAGTAGGTAGAGGCTGCAGAATCCAAAGGTTAAGGCCATCTTCAGATGCAGAGAGAATCAGAGGCCTGGGTTAGATGAGCTCCCGTCTCAAAAATGATATGACATGGTTGATACCCTCCAAGAGAAATCTTGTCCCACATTCATTGCCACTTCCTCTGTCTTCCTCACCCCCAGTCCTTGGCAGTCTCTAAACTGTTTACCTAATCTGCACATGTCTTCTGAATGCAGCCGTGAGGTGTATGAGCTTTGTGACCAGCTGCTCCCCCAAGTTGTGTTGTTTCTAGGTCTGTTCATGTTATGGCCCGATCCCTGTCTGTGGATGAGGAGTCTGTTGAATGAGAGATGTCGTGCTTTATTTCTCTATCAGTTGATGGCCCTTTAGGATCGTTTCTACAGTTTGGCTGTAAGAGGTGCTGCTGTGAGCATTTGTATACATGGCTTGTATGGATGCCTTCTTTCATTCATTAGGAGTAAAATCAGGATTGAGGCCAAGGGAGTAACTATGGGGCGGAGGAGGAGAAGAGAGAAAGTTCAAGGTTGAGGACAGGTTATGTCAAGGAGGGACTGGGGGATGCTGGGAGAACATAGAAGCCAAGTCTGCTTTGATATGTAAAATATGCACCTCAGTCTCTTCTCCCTTGTCCAGAACCAAACATCTCCCTCCCGGTTGTATGCTGCCACTGTAGCTGGTGTCTTTGTTGTAGCTGGTGTAGCAGTGTGTCTTTCTTTTGAGACAGGTTCTTCCTCTGTAACCAGGACTGGCCTGGAACTCACTGCACAGTCTCCACTTGACTTCAGGCTCTCTGCTGTCCAGGGCTTGAGGAGCCACACCCTGGCTAGTAGTCAGCTGTTAGGAAGTCTATCTGACTGCCTGCTGGTTAACTTTTGGTGATAGACTGACATGGGACCTCTGGTGGTCTTTGGATGTCAGTGTCCCCAACCAAAGTCACATTTAGAAGATAGCATGTTCCCCTCAGTTTGTATTGTAAAAAATATTTAATCTCAATCTGGGGCTTCTACCCCACCTTGATCTTTCAGTTCCTAGATAAAAGACACAACTTTTTTTTTTTTTTTTTTTTTTTTTTTTTTAAAAAGGGGTTTTTCTGTGTAGTCCTGGCTGTCCTGGAACTCACTCTGTAGACCAGGCTGGCCTCAAACTCAGAAATCCGCCTGCCTCTGCCTCCCAAGTGCTGGGATTAAAGGCGTGCGCCACCACTGCCCGGCGACACACAACTTTTATTATTTACAGTCAGCCTTAATCAGCATGGATGCTGTGCAGATATCTACCTGCTATGTTATAAGCTATAACCCCAAGTTACTACTTACTGTGTTTCATCTGGGCTGCTTTTAACTCCAGTCGGTCAGTCCTTGGGCCATGCTTCCTTGACTCCTAACCCAGGGTGTCTTTCTTCTCTCTTCCTCTCTTCCTCTCCTGTCGGTCTTCTCCAACCCTCCAAGCTTGGGAACACCAAACCCAGCAAGATCACGTAGTGTCACGTGAGTCTGTGTTCAACTCTCATCTCTAAGGCGACCAGGTCTCGTCAGCTCCCCACACACACTGAGCATTACAATACATAGCAGTAGACCAAACCTCAACAAGCTGCCTTCATTTGGAGAGTGCACCTTTGTAGGGCCATAAGGGTAATACAGCCCTGTTTGCAGGAGGTTTGCGTTCTCATAGAGGGGGGTAAAGGCAGAGGTGGCTCAGGGGGCAGGATCCAGCATGGGTGAGCCCTGACCTCATGCCCAGGATCCACTGATTCTGGTGGTAACGGCTTGTATTCTCAATACTCATCAGGTGGAGACAGGAGGAGGTGAGTTCAATGTCATCCCTGACTCTATTAGAAGTTTGAGCTACCCTAGTTAACAAGATCCTGCCTCAGAGGGCAGCCATCTGCAACGCAGGGATGGGGTCATCACCAGCACCACACTGTGTTACCCAAGCTTAGCCTTACAGTCCCTATGAGAAAATGACTGTGAAGCCAGGTGTGGTGACACATTCTTGTCATCTCAGCCCTTAGGAGGCCGACATAGGAAGACTTCTGGGAGCTCCAGGCTAGCCTGAGCTACATACAGTATGAGACATAGACACACCTCAAATAGGAAAAAAACCTTTGTTTAAAAATAGTTGAAGTGGCACTGTGCGGTGTGCAGGGGCTCTGTGAGACACAGCTGCAGCCCCGCAGCTCAGCTAGGCTCTCTTCACTCTGCCCACCAGATGGCTTCCCAAGCTCCTCTCAGTGGCAGCCACCCACAGGCTTCGCCTGAGCCAGCTCTTCCACCCGAGACTGAAAGGTTGCTGTCCACAACCCTCATCATCCTACACAGCATATCTGTAGCTTGGATTTTATCTTGAGCCCCAAGTCTGAAAAACTCTTTGGTATTTCTAGCTTATAGTATTTGGGGGGAGGGGGTGCTAAACCTGTACCCTACCATTTAGGCTAAGTTTCTCCGTCTCTTGTTTTCTTGTCTATAAAGTGAGGAGGAGGACATTGAGAGAAAAGCCAGACTGAGTTATACAGTTATACATGACACCCTAGCTTTTTTTTTTTTTTTTTTTTTTTAGTTTTTTCTAGAGTGGGTTTCTCTGTATAGCCCTGGCTATCCTGGAACTCAATCTGTAGACCAGGCTGGCCTTGAACTCAGAAATCCACCTGTCTCTGCCTCTCAAGTTGCTAGGATTAAAGGCATGCGCCACCACTGCCCAGCCATGACACCCTATCTTAATATTAAAAAAAAAAAAAAAAAAAAAAAACCAGTAAATTAAACTACCAAAATTGAGACGTGGCTCAGAGGTAGAGCCCCTGCCTGGAATCCTCCAATGAGAGCTGGGACTGTAGCTCAGAGGTAGAGCCCACACCTTGCTCTCAGACTGCCCTCCAGTGCCACTACACACACACACACACACACACACACACATATACACCACATCAGACACACACACATATACACCACATCACACACACACACACATATACACCACATCAGACACACACACACATATACACCACATCAGACACACACACACACACACACACATACACCACATCAGACAAGGGCACAAGTGTCCATTCAATTGGCAATCTGAGTATCCAAAGCCCCCAAGCCTAATGTAACCTCAAAAATTAAACTGCACATGCATAAGGGAATAAAAATGAGGGCAAATTCCATAATATCAGAGATAGGGGTGTGGACTTCTGAAAGGACATTAGCAGTCTCAGCAATCTCAAGTCCTAGATCTTATATGGCACTCTGCTCTAGGCAGGTGGCTTGTCCTGTAAGCCTCAGTGTGTTGGGCAAAGGAGACCCTTAGGAGACAGACAGGAGAGTGTGACAGTGGCAGCACAAGCCAGCACTTGGGGCTAGGGCTAGAGAGATATATGAGTGATTTGCAGGGGTGTGGTGTGTGCATGTGCGAGTGCGCCTAATGTCCCTGGAGGTCAGAAAGGACATTGGATCCCTTGGAAGTAGCATTACAGAAGGTTATGAGGCACAATGTCAATGCTGGGAGCTGAGTCCAGGGCCTCTGTAAAAGCAACAAGTGTGGGCATGAAGAGGACCCAGGTTCAATTCCCAACACACACATGGCAGCTCACAATGTCTGTATCTCCAGTTCCATGGGATCTGGCGTGCTCTTCTGGCCTTCTTGGCAGCAAACACATATGTTGTATATAGTTACACATGTAGGCAAAGCTGTAGTCCCAGGTGGCCTTAAACTTCCCGAGTGCATTGACGGGGGCTGTGGTCTTCTACTGGTTAGACTGTCTTCTCTTTCTGTCCTAAAGATAACATTTCTCAGCTGGAGGTGACTAGCTCAGCTGGCCCTTGCTTGGTGACAGTCACAGGAAGCCCTGTGGTGAAGGTGTGAAGAAAAGCTGTCTGTAACTGCAGTTCCAGGGAATCTGGCCTCCATGCACACATGACGGGCTCAGAAATGCATGCAGGCAAAACACCCACGCACATTGAAATAAATCTTTAAAGGAGAATTTTATCTTTAAAAAAATTTTTTTTGTTTTTGTTTTTGGTTTGGTTTGGTTTGGTTTGGTTTGGTTTGGTTTTTCAAGATGGGGTTTCTCTGCATGTCTGTGCACCACAGTATCGGGGGTGACGGGGGCAGCAGAGAGGTCAGAGCCTCTGGAACTGAGGTATGGATGGCTGTGAGACATTGTGTAAGTGAGTGCTGGAAGCCCAGCCTCTACAAGAGAGTTCTTTTTTTTTTTTTTTTTTTTAATTTTATTTATTTATTTTATGTATATGAGTACATTGTTGCTCTCTTCAGACACACCAGAAGAGGGCATCAGATCCCATTATAGATGGTTGTGAGCCTCCATGTGGCTGCTGGAAATTGAACTCAGCACCTCTGGAAGAGCAGTCAGTGCTCTTAACCACTGAGCCATCCCTCCAGCCCTGGCTCAAAAGTTAAATGGGCTGGGCTTGGTGCTATCCGCTTGTCTTGTCTAGGACTCCAGAGGTGGACACAGGAGGATAAGAAGTTCAAGGCTGGGGCTGGATGTGATGTGATCTGATGCCCTCTTCTGGTGTGTCTGAAGACAGCTATAGTGTACTCACAATAAAATAAATAAATCTTTAAAAAAAAAAAAAAGAAGAAGAAGAAGTTCAAGGCTATCCTCCACTTCATAGCTTAAAAGGCCAGCCTAGGCTCTTTGAGACCTGAGACCTGGTGTGGAAACCATGGGTATAGCACTGTTGATTGATTGGTCCTTGCAGACAGAACCCTACAGCATACGTCTAGAGATGAGACAACTCTTCTTCCATGTTTCTGTAGTACAGGACATTGAACTCAGGTCATTGGCTTTGCAAAACAAGCAAGCACCTCCACCCTCTGAGCCATCTCATGGGCCCATCTTTGGGTTTTCTGAGGCAGGGTCCTTTTCAGCTCTTGCTGGTCTGGAATCCAGTATGAACCCTCCAGCCTCGGGCTTGTAAGTACTGGGATTGCCAGTGTGGTCCACCACATTTAGAGTCCCTAGTTCATCTCTTCCTGGAACACACACAGGGAGCAACAGAGTGTAACTGGCCTAGCCGCTTCCAACCTGACGTCTGTCGGCATACTCAGAAAGAGGATTCCACCCCATCTGTGGCCCCTGCCTGCTATTTGCATGCTGCAGAAAGCCCCATTTTCAGACCCTTATACCTTATGGTGTTTGCTTTGTTTTGGTGTTTTTTGTTTGTTTGTTTGTTTTGTTTTTTGTTTTGTTTTGTTTTTTTCGAGACAGGGTTTCTCTGTGTAGCCCTGGCTGTCCTGGAACTCACTCTGTAGACCAGGCTGGCCTCGAACTCAGAAATCCGCCTGCCTCTGCCTCCCAAGTGCTGGGATTAAAGGCATGCACCACCACTGCCTGGCTCCAGAGTGTCTTATATAGTAACTTGTTTTGTTTGTTGAGCAAGGTCTCATATAGCCCAGGCTGACCTCCAACTCACTTTGTAGATTCAAAGTATTTCATGTTCTCCTTGAACTCGCTCTCTCTCTCTCTTTTTTAATTTATTGTTTATTTTATGTGCACTGGTGTCTTGCCTACACGTGTGTCTGTGTGAAAGTACCAGAAACTCTGGAACTGGGTGTGAGCTGTCATGTGGGTACTGGGAATTGATCCCTGGTTCTTTGGAAACACAGCTAGTATTCTTAACCCCTGAGCCGTCTCTCCAGCCCCTGCCTTGAACTCTTTCTCCTGCCTCCGCCTCCCCAGTGACTGAAAGGAGAGATGCAAACACTCATGGAAGGCTGGGGACACAGTTCAGCACGACTAGCACAAAGCCCCGTGATGGCCCCTCAGCACTGTAGAAACTGCATGTGGTGGCTCAGCCTGTCTTCCCAGCAACTGGAGAGGCAGAGGAGGGAGGTTTGCTTGGAATGCAAGGTCAGGCTGGTCTATAGAGGAAGACACGGTTTGTTTGTTTTTTTAAAAAAAGAAAAGTGGTGCTGGCCTTTAAACCAGCACTTGGAGACAGAGGTAGAGTTTGTGGCCTGCCAGGGCTACATAGTGAGACTCTTGTCTCAAAAGCAAAAAGAAGTGGCCCTGGCACTGCCTGGTGATTTGTCTCCCTGCTTGAGACCCACGGACTACTGTGGTTTAAGGCTGTGTTTTAGGCGAGTTGAACAGGCTTCTGGATCAGGCTCCTGACCACACGCCCAGGAGGCCGTTCATGTCCTATGTGAGTGTCCGGGGTTACCCTGCCACTTGTCCCTTCTTGAACAGGATGACACGGCATGGCAAGAACTGCACTGCAGGTGCTGTCTACACCTACCACGAGAAGAAGAAGGACACAGGTACCATCCTGGGGGCCTCACTTTCACCTTCGGTGTCACCCTCTGTGAGGTGTCCTGTTCTGCCCTGAGTGGCCTGTCTCTGTCCCATCTGTACTAATGATGGTGGCCATAGGCAGTGTGACGCATGTGGCCCATCTAACACGTACCATCCCATGTCAGTCCCCCTTCCTCCTAACCCTACCTGGCTACCAGCTCTGCAGAAAAGAAGGCTGAGAGCCTCAGTGGTTCCCACCGAGAGAGCGAGCCAGCCATGAGCCTCTTCACTGGCTGCTGGGGAGGAGGCTGACCTAGCCATGTGATTCTCAGGCTCTACCAAACCTGCACATTTCTCTGGAACATTTGGTGGAGGGCATATCCCCACTCACCTTTTCATCACCACCTTGTTCTGTCCTCAGCCGCCTCAGGCTACGGGACCCAAAACATCCGACTGAGCCGGGATGCTGTGAAGGACTTTGACTGCTGCTGTCTCTCTCTGCAGCCATGCCATGACCCTGTGGTCACGTAAGCTGGGGAGGGGCCATGCCATGACCCTGTGGTCACGTAAGCTGGGGAGGGGCCATGCCATGACCCTGTGGTCACGTAAGCTGGGGAGGGGCCATGCCATGACCCTGTGGTCACATAAGCTGGGGAGGGGCCATGCCATGACCCTGTGGTCACATAAGCTGGGGAGGGGGGGAGGAGCAGCTGGTGTACGTGGGTTTAGCAAGGGAGCGAACGAGCACACTGCTCGTAGCTGGGGCTGGCTCAGAGGGTAGAGTACTTTCCTAGCACACAGGAAGCTCTGGGTCCACCCCCAGCACCACAGAAAGCTGGATGTGATGCACACCTGGGATGCCAGCACTCAGGCAATACAGACAGGATGACAAGAGGTTCTAGGCAAGCTTCAGCTACATAGCAGTTTAAAGCTAGCCCGTGCGGCAGGACATAATGTCTCTAAAGAAAAAGAGCTGGGCTGAAGGGAGTGCTGTGAAGTCACCACCTAAGGGTGTTTGGTGGTACCCAGTGTGTGTGTGTGTGTGGGATGCCATCACGGGATGAAGGCTCAACCCTGCGGCTGAGCCCAGGCCCATGCCTCTCTCATCCCCTCTCTCTGCAGGCCAGATGGCTACCTGTATGAAAGGGAGGCAATCCTGGAGTACATCCTCCACCAGAAGAAAGAGATTGCCCGGCAGATGAAGGTGATGGAGGCTGAGGAGTGGAGGGCCACAGCGGGGCAGTTTCCAATCTCAGCTCATTCTCTCAAGGGGCCTTCACTGACGCTGGTGTCTGCCTGCAGTGCTGCCCACCGCCCACTCTCTCCACATGTGTCCACTCAGATCTCAGCCCAGGCAGCACCTGCTAGCCCTGCCTAGGAGCCTGTGACCCCCATGTGCCCTCAGACTTACTGCAGTGTCCACGCTGCACTGCAGGCCACAGGAACAGCTTCCCCTGCTCTCTTCAGCTCCAGGCACTCAGCAGAGGCTTGTGATGCAATGGACAGCCTGTGAGCTTCAGTTTTATCATCTGTACAATGGCCACTAGGCTGAAATCAGAGGGTACCACAGACCAAGTGGAAGAAACAAATAGATAAACTAGGCCCATCAGGCACACACTATGTGTCCTTCCTTCTGTGGGGAGAGACACATTGTGTCGGCCCTCTTCCTTTGTTCCTGTTTTGGACCAGGCATGAGTCCCAGGGCCTCACAGGCCAAGTGCTTGCAGTACTGTCCACAGTGCTGTCCACTTGAGCTCACACATGGTCCACACTGCTCCCCGACTCCGTGTCCTCCCCACAGCCCAGTGGCCAGCCAGACTCTCCCTTCCCTTGGTGCCCCTGTTGGAGGCCTTCATGGCCTCAGGCATTGTTACTGTCACCACCTCAGCTGGGTGACCCAGGGAGTCTCCAGAGCTGACTGCTTGACACCTGCTGGGTGCCAGGCAGGACTAGGCAAGGGACATTTCCAACATTACTTTACCTATTTTGGTCACACAGAGCCCAGCAGGTTGTACTGCTTACAGACTTCAGAGTTAAGCCCTGTGGCTAGCCAGCACGCAGTACTATGTTACCATGTGCCATCAGAGGCTAAGCACTTTAGACACTTCACCTTGTGTCTGGAGAAGTGGCTCAGTGTGGAGGGCTTGGTTAGTGTGCATGACGCCCTAGGTCCCAGCTCTGGCACGGATAACTAGGAATGGTGATGCGTGACTGGTTGGTGACGATCAGGAGGGTTGCCCTTAGCCGCATAATGAGTTTCAGACCAGCCTGGACTACAGGAGCCCCTGTCTCACCTCGCGGAGACCCTCCCGGCAGGAGGACTGAGTCTAGTAAGCCACAGACTCAAATGGCAGGGCCACCTTAGCAAGAGAACATAAAAGCATCAACAACTGTTGCCAGTCCTGCCAGAGCTGCTCAGGGCTCTGTCTCCCAACTGGTGAGGGTAGGTGCCAGGGTGGGTCCCGGTACGCTCACCCAGGCCCCTCTTCCCCCAGGCCTATGAGAAGCAGCGAGGAGCCCGGAGAGAGGAGCAGAAAGAGCTTCAGCGAGCTGCAGCCCAGGACCAGGTCCGAGGCTTCCTGGAGAAGGAGGCAGCCATTGTGAGCCGGCCCCTCAACCCCTTCATGCCCAAGGCTGCCACCTTACCCAACACAGGTGACAAGGAATACCTGCCCCTGGTCGGGTCTTTAGGGGGCAGCTTCCTGAGGTGTGTACCCCTCCCGCAGATGGTGAACAGCCAGGGCCCAGTATGGGTCCCCTAGGCAAGGACAAGGACAAAGCACTGCCCAGCTTCTGGATTCCGTCACTAACGCCTGAGGCAAAGGCCACCAAGCTGGAAAAGCCGGTGAGCTCCCAGTGTCCAGGACTCCTGTCCCTGCTCTCTGCTCTCTCCGCCCCTCCACTGCCCACATGGCTGACCCTGATTGTCCCTCTCTCCCCTGTTGACCCCCCTCTACCTGTAGTCCCGCACGGTGACCTGCCCGATGTCTGGGAAGCCACTGCGCATGTCAGACCTGACGTCAGTGCGCTTCACGCAGCTGGACGACTCTGTGGACCGCGTGGGGCTCATCACACGCAGTGAACGCTACGTTTGTGCAGTGACCCGAGACAGTCTGAGCAATGCCACACCGTGTGCAGTGCTGCGGCCCTCGTGAGTAGGGGTGGAGAGAAGAGGCTGGGGGGCTCCGAGGTACCATGGGGCCAACCTTTGCACTGTCTTGCACTGTAGCGGGGCCGTGGTCACCCTGGAGTGTGTGGAGAAACTGATCCGGAAGGACATGGTGGACCCCGTGAATGGTGATACGCTGACAGAGCGTGACATCATCGTGCTGCAGCGGGTGAGTTGTTGTTAGCTCACCCCAGCCCACACCCCATCCTAGCCTGCACTGCAGCCTGTTCCCTGGTGTCATACTCAACCTGTCTTCCACCCAGCCCCCTTACCGCCCGCCCTTCATGTTATCCTCCCTACATACTGTCGGTTCCCCCCACGGCACCTTGCGTTTTTCTTTCTAATGCCCCATCTTACTCCGCCTTTGGGCTTCTCACCTTTGTCAAAGACACCCCACTGTCCAGTCTCTTCTATGTCTTGAATGCCCTCCATCTCCTGCCCTCACAGCAGAGCCACCGCTGCTGCCTGGAGCCCAGCCCCTCGGGCTCCTCCAGCTGCTTCTTTTCCCTCCTCTCCAGGGTGGCACAGGCTTTGCGGGCTCCGGAGTGAAGCTACAGGCAGAAATGTCCCGGCCAGTGATGCAGGCCTGAGCCATGTCCTAATAAATGTGGCTGTGAACAGTCTGGGTGTCTGGTGCCTCATTGTAGGCAGGGGCTACAGAAAGAGTGGGCCTGAGGTGTGGGCGTCCACTCCGGAGCCAGGAGATAACACTCCCAGGCCAGATACCTGCCAAGACCCCTAGACATGGGCCTGTCCCCACCATGTGCCCTTCCCCCAGGAGCTCCTGCAGACCTGTTACACACCGCACATGCTTCACATGCACACTTACCCTCCTTCACCTGGAGAACATCTCTCAGGAGTTGGCTTCCCTGTGGATGTCCAGCTTTCCTCTTTCCTCCATTCCTTACTCAAGCCCTAAACTTGTTCACAGGAGACACTGACCACCCTCACCCTGAGCTCCCGAGAAAAGCTGAAAAGATGCTTCTTTTCTCTGTGTACTGCCAAGTGCACTCTAAGCAAGTGCTGCGTTCCTTTCATTTGACATGTGTCTAGGGAGGGCTTTGTGCACACGAGTGCAGTGTAGGCCATGGTAACCAGTCAGAGCCCTGGAGCTGGAGTCAGAGGCAGTCTGGAGCAGCCTAGTCCAGATGCTGGGAGCCAAGCTCCATTCTCTGCAAAGAGCAGCACGCACTCTGAACCACTGAGCCATCTGCCGCCCAACTTTTCCATCCCCACAACTCAAGAGGATTGCTGCAAATTTAGGCTAGCTTGTGTTAGACTGCCTCAGAATAAGAGAAACAGTATATACATTTGAGTCATTAAATCTCGGTAAATTCTTGATGGGAAAAAAAAAAGCACTGGCCATGCCATGGTGAGAAGATGCTCTGAGTGTCTGCTATCTTGTATATTTATAATCTTACATCCTGTAAGTCTGTTGCCAATATTTAAGCATAAAGTATATTCTAGGCATGGCGGTGTGCGCCTGTAAAATTGACCCTCCTGCCTTGGCCACCGTTGTTACACATTATCACAGTGCATCTGGAAACCTGGATCTTTTCTGTGCTCGTAATTTGCAGCTTTGTGTATAATTTTGAAAAGGTACTGTGTCAACCACACAACCTTTCAAAGATTTGAGAGGGCCTTTTGGCCAGTAAATTGGATGTCCACCTGCAGCCACTAGAGGGCAGAATGCTACTGCCATCGAAAGGACGAACACAGGCTTTGAATTCCAATGCTTGGGGTGGTGTGTGTGTTTTTGTGTGTGTGTGTGTGTGTGTGTGTGTGTGTGTGTGTGTGACTGTGACTGGATTAAAACAGGCTAGGGCCACACAGGCTGGAGGACCTGTGTTCAGATCCCTGTGATGATCAGAGACCAAGGATCCCTGCGATCAGCCATACCATCCTATTCCAGGTTCAGTGAGAGAGCTCTCGCTAAGTCATGTAGACAATAGTTGAAGACACCTAGCATTGGCCTCTGGCCTCCGCAAAGGGTCACACACAAAATACAGATGATACCTAAATACCTAAAGCAACCAAAAAAGAAAAAAAATCATGGACAATTTAGCCAATATTCAGAAAATGCAAATCAATTGGAGAGAGTTTCTGGTGTGCTGCTTTTAGCCTGGGACATGGTCAAGCCTTGACTACCAAATGTCAGTGGAAAGCCAAGCTAGGCCTGGTGGTACACACCTCTCATCTGCCAGCGTACAAGGAAGGGAAAGGGAAGAAAGCTAGGGAGATACCCCAGCTATATTTATTGAAGTCCTGCTGAACCCAGTTGAACCATATCTGCTACTTGGTAGTTCAATCCAAGAAGCCCAGCAAGGAGTTGGGCATGGTGGTGCACACCTTTAATCCCAGCACTCAGAAGGCAGAGGAAGGTGAATCTCTGTGAGTTTAAGGCCAGCTTGGTCTACAGATCCAGTTCCAGGAGAGTTAAGGCTACACAGAGAAACTCCATGTCAGGGGCAGGGAAAAGACCCCACGAGGCCACAAAGCCTTGACTAAAGTGTAGCAGAAAGAACAGGGTAGAGTTTGAGTTTCATCATGTCAGTTAGTAGCTTAGAAAAAAAGTAATGTAGGAGCAGGAAAGGTGGCCTGCCCTGCAGTAAGAGCCCTGGCTGCTCTTCTAGGAGACCCAGGTTTCATTCCCGGCACTCACCATCTGCAACTCCAGTTCCAGGGGATCCCACACGGGCTTCTGGCCCTCAAGGATGCTGCACACATGTGGTGCATAGACATATATGTAGGCCAGACACATGTACACATAAGTAATTCTTTTTAACTTAAAATTAATTTTTTCCTGAAGGATAAAACAGACTCCAGAGGCACTACTGTCAGCCTAAGAAGGAGTGTTGCTCAATGAGACGTGCCTGGCATGCCCCAATAAGACACTGGGGTGCTGTTAGAGGATAGAGATCAGAACCTGGGTCCTAACTCTGGTACCCCCGACCCAATGCTATAAGACCCATTACTTTGCTAAGTTTAAAAGTTAACAAGAAGCCGGGCGGTGGTGGCGCACGCCTTTAATCCCAGCACTTGGGAGGCCGAGGCAGGCGGATTTCTGAGTTTGAGAGTTTGAGGCCAGCCTGGTCTACAGAGTGAGTTCCAGGACAGCCAGGGCTACAAGAGAAACCCTGTCTCGAAAAACAAAAACAAAAAAAAAAAACAAAAAAAAAAAACAAAAATTAACGAGAAGGAAAGCCCTAGACCCCCGAAATCCACATTGTGGGAAGAAAACACAACAAATCGTCTGACCTGCAAACAAAAATATTTCAATAAGAATAAACAAGATAAATTGCCTTGGGACACACCTGGGTAATTTCACAAGCTGAACCTCGCAGGGAAGCAGCAACCCCTGATAAGCGCCTGTGATTTCCCAGCCGGTAGTGCCAGCGCTCGCCAGCAGAGGGCGGGCACCCCATTCAATGCCTTGCTAAGTAAATTCTGCTCTGGAATAAGCGGTCTGGGCCAAATCGGATGAGATTTCCACCCGTGCTTGGGGACTTTGAAGTCTCTTGTTCCGGGCTGTATGTCAAAGTCCTTGCGATGCCACCACTATTTAGGTAAATGAGCACTGTAAATGTTTTACAGTCTGGAATCTTTAAGGAAGGGACTGGCCTGGCGTGGACCTCATTAAAAATTCTGGGGTCGGGGGCTGGTGAGATGACTCAGTGGTTAAGAGCACTGACTGCTCTTCCAAAGGTCCTGAGTTCAATTCCCAGCAACCACATGGTGGCTCACAACCATCTGCAATGAGATCTGATGCCCTCTTGTGGGGTGTCTGAAGACAGCTACAGTGTACTTTAAATAAATAAATAAATAAATAAATAAATAAATAAATAAAGTTAAAAAAAAATTCTGGGGTCTAACCGGTCATGGTGGTGCACAACTTTAATTCCAACACTCAAGAGGCAGATGGATGTCTGAGTTCGAGGCCAGCCTGGTGTACAAAATGACTTCCACGACAGTCACGGCTGCACAGAGAAACCCTGTCTCAAAAAAAACAAAAAATAGCCGGGCGGTGGTGGCGCACGCCTTTAATCCCAGCACTTGGGAGGCAGAGGCAGGCGGATTTCTGAGTTCGAGGCCAGCCTGGTCTACAGAGTGAGTTCCAGGACAGCCAGGGCTATACAGAGAAACCCTGTCTCGAAAAACCAA